TTCTGCTATGGTTTATGTTTTTGCTTGTTGTTAATTATTCAACCTTTCTCCCTACTCAACTTCCATACTATTCTCATTTGGAGTCTACTTTACTTTCATATTATCTGAGCTTTCAGTGAGTGATATGTTATCCTTGCTGAAAAATGCAATAAACTAAAAGATTTCTTATACTCAGAAAGAATCAAGATACAGATGAAGATTTCCCTATGATTATATATTCCATGGTATTTCATCTGGCTCAAAAATCCATTTACCGGGAGCACTGTTTGACAAATTGTCACATACCAGAAGTGTGTGGAGATGAAAAACTCCCAGTCTTTTCACTTTGTTTTCTTCCTTTCATTTTGTATATTTTTGTCTATCCTAGTTGACTGCACAGTTTCTGATTTCTAAAACTGAATTAACCATGTAACAAAGTGTCATGAGCAAATGCATAAAAGGCTTTGAAAGCTTGGTGTAATACTAGAAAACTTGTAGGGATTCTAATATTTCCAACATATATAGTTCAAAAATTAATATAACTTCTACCACTTAAACAGATCTTGCATAGACATCAGCGCTTATGAACAGATGTTTTGCACATCATAGATATTTTTCACTTCTATTTTTAATAGATAAATTGTCAAAGGAGTGAAAGAACTGCGCATCCGTAAGTCTGTTTTTTGCAAAGATGGGCATATCCACTGTATGTAGCTAGATATTTCCACTGTTTCTCAAAATTTGTGCATTTGAGCGAGCAGACTGAAGAACTGCAAACTAAGCTTCTCATTTGGATGCACATTTATCTAGGCTATATATAAAATTATTAATCCGTTGCATATGACAACATGAACGTACCATCTCCTTTGTTTTTCAGAGAAATCTGATTTGGATAGTAATATTTTAAAATACAAGTACTATTTATTTTTAAAGGTGAAGAACTGAATTTAATCGACAGAACAATATTCAGAACTCGTCTCTGAATATTGAATTATTGCAGTCCGTAAAATTTCAAATTCTCAAAGACTGCGAAACAGCATAAACTGTTTTCTTGATGATAAAAAAGATCAATCAAAACTCTAATACATCTGTTGACTGAAGTCATATCAGTAGGACAATGAAAATCCACAACATCTTATACAAATGTATATATGCACATATACACAGATGCACGCACACCTTTAGCATGATAAACGATTCAGAAATAATTCTACATTGTATCGTCCGTTCATGCCACTCTAAAAATACATACTATATTATTTTGCCGAAGAAGCTGATGCATTCTACTTTTTTTACAAACAGTACAGATATTCAAATATATGATTAGTTGGAGGAGGGAGTTATTCGATGTTTGTCTGCAATGGCATGGTGCAAACAAATCTTTTTTAAAGGATATTTGGCTACACTTTAGAAGCGGCTAGGAAAACAAGGATTATAAACACACAGAAAGTTTAACTGGTTTATCTGTGGCACTAATTGCAATTCAAATTTGTACAAATAACAGAAAAGGGCTGTCAAAAGTGTTCCTTACATGAATGTCTACTCATAAATCAAGTTCCGATCTCTTTTAAGCTGCTAGTGCATCTGCTATATTTTTTCTCCATTTTGACTTTTTATATACATAGTCTTATTTTAAATGGCTATACTTTTAAAAGAGAAAAACATTTTAAGACAGTTATATATAGATCCCCTCCAGTGTACACGAAAAAAAAATTAAAAAAAAAAAAGAAGGAATGTGATCATTAACCTGTTACTTCACTCATCAGGAATTTGGCTGGGAAGGTTTCAGATAGAAAGCACTTACTTTATAACAAGAACTCAAGAAACAAACACAGCACTGCAAGAGTTCGACCTCTCACAAAGAAAGACTGCAGTTGTCCAGATTTTGTTCAGATTGCAGATGTGCCAGTTCGTAGTTTTTTTCATGAATTATTAATGAATCATTGTGAACAGAAAGGACCAAAAGGAAAGAAAACACGAAATTCTGCCTACAGCTCTTTATCCCGACGCATAAGACAAATCCAGCTAAAATAGCTTAGAGACTGGGGATGTGGAAGTGGAGATGGTATCCAAAATAATTTACATTTACTTGTTTGAGTTTCCTGGATAGTCCTGTAAACAACTTCTAGTTTTCAGATCCATTAGTTTGCAGATCTGTTTAATAAGCACTCTGAGGAAAGACGTAATGAATTCCTGACTATGAGCTGAAAAAAAGGTACCCTGTGTGCCATGGTGCCCAATGGAGACACTCATGGAGAGCAGCAAAATATTGTCAGAATGAGCTGCACAAGTAATATCCATCACAGGCAGATATGTTTTATTTTCCTCAGAGCTGGCAAAAATACTTGGCCCAATTCTGTTTAATGCATGATTCTGAAAAAAAAAAAAAAATGGTTCTGTAAAGAACTGCAAAACATATTATTGTTTATGGAACCCTTACATATATGTACGTATGTGCATATTTATATAACTGTGAGTCATTTTGCATGTATCATGTGTGTGTATATATATATGTGTGTGTATATATACATATATAAATCAAAATATAATATCAAGAGCCTTAAATAAAAAGTAGGAGCAATTCTACAACATTGTTCGCAGTAACTGCTTTAGTGCTATTGAAGCCTGTCGCACTTCAGACTAAAAACTCTCTAAAATATGGAAAGATATTTTGCCACTTTGTTTGGGATTCTTTGGGTCTCTTAAAATGGTTCTTATGTATCAAAGACCTACACAATTAACAAAGTAATCTGCTCAGAAATTTGAAATATTTCTTTTTGTACACTTTTTATATGAATAAATATAGGGTGACCTCAGACAAACTTCCAAATCATCTCTTTCATACTTCTGAATGTAGAAATATGGCATACTAATGTGGATATGATACAAAATAAAAATACAGAAAACTTATCTCTGTAACTGTTCAAAGGTCAAGTTTGAATAATCTGAAATTAGTGGTCTGCTGTCAGTAATCCAAAATCTTCATCAGAATCTGTTGTCTGTCTCTAGAATTGCTTAAAAACAAAATGTTTCTCACACCTGTCATATTTACTTCAGTACTCAAAAGATCAAAAGGAAAGTCATTATGAATTCATCAGTCCCAATTCTGGCAGCATCTTTAAGCTAAATAGTTAGCAAAAAAGTACAAAATTGCATTAGTGTGATGTAGAATGAATTCACTGTAAGATGGTATGCAGCTTACTGTTCTTTTGTCTACTTGAATTGGCGTTGCAGCAGCAGATTGCTTCTGTTCAAAGCTTTGAGCTAAAACACTCATCTGCTTGGTCTCATCAACTTTGAACATGGTGGTGAGCTTCCACTTTTATTACTATATCAGTATCTTGCATCAATAACATCAGAATGATTCTATGAATATTGTGCTATCTTTCTTTCATTTTATACCCCTATTCTTAAGCTAATGTCTACTACTTCTTAAAGAACTACAGGTATCCTCTCAAGCATGCTTTTCCTCTCATATCCTTCAGAAAAAATCTCAAAATCAATGATGACTGTGGTTTGTTCAAAATTTGATCCTATGTATTCTTTGTGAAAATGAATATCCCTAAGAACTATTCACCAAAGAACCTTATAGTGCTTGACTTTAGCCATTTGCAAACTGTATTACATCATTTTACATACTTTTCAATAACATTTTTCTTGCTAAAAATGTACAAATGAACTAAGCAAAATATTGATGTCTTGGGACAGAATAAAAGGAGAAAATGAGAAAAGATTTCTTCAGATACATTGTAAGTAATTTCTGTATAGGCCTATGGAATAAAATCATCTTTTCTTGAGAAATCTTAAAGGTCTGTAAATTTCAGAACCTTTTTCACAGACCCAGGAAAAGAGGGTATTCTCATGTTTATTCATGTCTCATATTTTCATCTCTGCATACAGTGTCCACAATGCACTTAGGTATCAGAAAGGGCCTCAGGCTTAATAAATGTGACACAAATGTAAGAATGCATACTTACCGCCGAGAGTGCACGTCCACAAATTACTAGAACTGGTTCCACAGTGTGAGTGGCAGTGAATTCTTTCTCTAATCTCCAGAAAACTTCAACAAAAAGTCTGCTATGGTCTCCAAAGATTTTCAGTGCAAGGATGGCATATGTGTTTTAAAAATATTCACTACTCACATTACAGAGGAAACTCTTTCAGTGGATTTTGTTTTAAATACATGCACAAAGATGGCCTACTAGTCTTTCATAGTTGCAGACTTCTTCAAACTCAGGTTTATCTCTAGGCCTTCTCTGTGTCTTTTCTCTTCTTGCTCCTATGAACTATTAAGAACATTCCTCTCTCCCAAAATGAACTTTTGAAGATCTGTGCATACTAAGGCTGCATTACTTTCTGCCAAAGAGCAGCCAATGTATACACTACAAGAAACAAATATGAAAAGGCAACATATTTTTTCATTTTAAACTGTGTCTGGTGGAGACAAGCATGACGGGAATGACATGAATGGAAGACTTTTAGGCTTTCTATCCTTACATACTCTCCCCTATTTCCAATGCTGCGTATGCAAACCAACTACTCAACATACTACTAAGAAGTAACTCATCTAACTAAATTAAAAGCCTCTCTTAGGCACATTACTGGAAGCAACTACGTTTTCAATACTGTAGCAAATTTTTCTTTTTAAATCCCAAGGAAAGCTCCCTGGGTGGAGGCTGAGAACCATATGTAGCTACACGTCGTTACTCACCCGCGTTTGCTCCGACACAACTGAAGCAGGCCTCACTGACAGTTACCTACTGCTGCTGCCCTCGTTTCCTCCTCCGCACCCTCCAAAGGGCATCATTACAGCAAGGAACTTCATACTGGACGAGTCCTGCAGCCCTGGTCCTGAACTAGTACATAACTAGCCATAATTAGAGAGACGAATACGGTCAAGCTTCGCATGTAGATATCCTCCTGCTACCAGAAGGGTGGGGAATCCAACAGAAACATTGTGCGCTTTCCCCACCTCAAAAGAGTTTTAAAATAGCTCCTTGTAATATAAAAGCCAGCCTTACCTGTAATTGGGAGCAGTGCCTGCAGGATAGCAAAGATAACAATCCTCTTCCACTTCATCTCGCTCCCCTGGGCGGTGTCGGGGAATTGGAGGCCACGGTTTAGCAGAGTGGGGCAAGGAGGAGAAAAGGCAGCACCACGAGCTTTGTTCTTCTGCCTGCCTCCGCAGGAAGCACCAGTTCTATAAGGCCTTTCAGAGTCCACCTGCCGGCAGCATAGCCGAAACACAACCAGGCGGCTTCAGAGGCTTGGGTTTTATATTCTTGGTATTGATGTTTGGGGTTTCCTTTTGTATTTTTCTTTCTTTTCTCTCTTTTTTTTTTAAGACTTTTTTTCTTTTTTAGTTTGTCTGATGGATTCTGATTCTGAAGCTGCCGATCTCTAAAAGGGGCCTAGGAATTATATCTGGTGTGAAATTCCTCTATGCTTCCAAAGGATACTGCATAACTATGTTCAGGACGTAGAATGTCATAAACATAAGTTTAAATTGCAAGCAAGCGCAGGTCACTCCTCAGCAAGTAACTAGCTGAACTGGTAAAGGTACAAAGCTTGCTCTGAAATCCCTAACTGAATGAAGGAAATAGCACGAGTGACTGAAAGCTGCTGCACTGTCATGGCTATCTCTAGACCGTATCCTAAAGAGCTGGCCTCGCTCTCTGCCTTTGCAGACCGTGTCCACGCAACATGAACTGCCGGCACAGCTGGCACTGCCTGCCTCCCTGTGCTTGCATGCAGCCAGGAAGCAGAGGTGCCCTTTGATGTGAACACACCACATCTTGTATTTTGAGAACTCTTTGTGTGTGGAGAACTCTGACACCATTTTGTCCTCAGAGTCACTGCAGCCTATGCAGGGAGGAGAGCTGTGCCATATCCGTGGGAGGGCACAGTGCGTACCTCCTCCTCCCCAAGCACGAAACAGAAAATTTGGCAGCCTCTAGCTGCATATGCTATACTCACAGAGTGTGTGGGCCTCGAACTTCAACCTACTTACGGCTTATAGCTGCCCCTTGGTCACAGACACCAAGGTAGACCAGTGCGTCGAGAATAAGGAAGTGTGGTTTCAATGTGACTATTTTCTAGGAATTACTAGGATTTTTCAGCCTTGCGCTCTAAGCTCTGTAGTTAATACCGTACTTTAAGCAGCTCCAGACAGGGCAGGTCCACCCAGCAGCTGCACTCTAGTTTCCTGCAGGCCTGTGTTCTTCATTCAGCACAGTTTCCGTGATCTCTTCTGCGTTCCTCTGAGACAAGGCACGTAAGGACACCCCTATGGCCTCCATGTACCCTTTGCTCTCCCGTACTGATCTTGCTGGGCCAGGAGCAGTGGGGAACACGGCTGACTCGAAGCCCGTGTGTGTGCATTGACTGACCAAGTGGCCCAGGGCCAGCTGCTTGCTGCTGGGCCAGCAAAAGCAAGAATAACGTTTTCTCTGCTGCTGGTTTGCTGAGTGTACTAATAGGCTCTCTCTAGCTAGCTACATGAAATTACATGTAGGAACTGGATTTTCTTGAGACTCTTGTGTTTAATTGGATTAAAGTTGACCCTCAGTTCAAAAGTTACTGGGGTAGCAGTGACTGGCAGACTGAATTAGAAGAATCTTGAAGTTTTGCTCCTCACAAAGCCAAGTTGGAGATCAGATCAGATGGCATAGAAGCAGCATTCGATACTCAGCTGTGGATAACTACACAGACAGGAGAATAAGCATATTTAAGCAGTAACCCAGCAAATGCTGCTATGGAGAACATCTCACACTATGAGCTGATAAAGATGAGAAATTCATCTGTGCTAACAATATTAAGTAATTTTTCCATGCCTTTACTGGAGACCCTCAACATACTTTTCGAATTAGCCCTACAAAAGTTGGGCAGTTAAGCTTTACAGACAGAGAAATTAAGTCTTAAGTGAAACAGAAAGCATTAGCACTGGAAAGAGAACATGAAATGAGGGTCTTTTTAAGACCACTTTCTAGTGTTTTTAAAACACATAGAATTTCTAAATGCATGGGGAAAAAATCAAAGGGAACTAAGGTTAGGGATAGTTCTTCCTCAACACTTTTTTTTTTTATTATTATCATCAGTAAGTTAATAAAAGGATTTACTTATTGCAATGGAAAGGAGAAACAACCAAGCATAAAAAGATGAAATTAAAAAGGGAGAAATGTAGAATTGTACAAAGAACTTCCTGAGAAAGAGATACTAGGCTAAAATAATTTCTCCAGGAAAGCATCAGGGCGTTAATTAGTATTTTGTCTGATTTTCATGTGTTTATAATGTTGTAAAATCTCACACTATTAAGCTCTTTTTTCATGTGAATCTTCACTCATGCTAACAGAAATAAAGACTATATTTTAGATAAATATGATTCAGGAAATGGTTGAAAACATGACTTAGAAGCATCTTAAAACCTACTGCACCTCCTCCCATCACACCCTCACACCCACCACGAAGACAAGATTGCTGAATGTGTCCCCCTCCCAAAAAAAAGAGATGAACACAAGATTTCTGAATGTTTACAATGTTCGTTTTAATGAATTCCATGTTCAGATCTTAAGCTAGGGAAAGTGGGGGGAGTGTTTTTTAAAAAAAATTATTATTATTATTATCATTTCTAGTTCTTAGAAATGAGAGGGTGAGAGAAGAATGTGGTCCCTACTAGGAATAGGAACAGGATTGGTGATAACCGTTTCCTAATAATCTGAAGAAGGCTGGCAGGGTGAGAGTTATTGTGATTATAAAAAGGATTTACAGCCTTTTGAAAGCCAAGCTAATTGAAATTCTTGGAAGAAGCAGCCCAAGAAATTCCTTACCTTGTTCTCATGAGCAGTGAAGGGTAATATATTGATAATATGGTGTTAGACTTTTATTTAATAATAATTACTAATTAGGGTACTAACAATACCAAAAATATGAGGCAGTGCCCTGAACTTAGTGCTGTATGCCATTCTGAGATGCTTAGAAGGCAGGGCCTGCCTGTCTTTCGCCTGCCGAGCCTCAAGGAGGGTTTTCTGCTGTGCTCCTTATCTCTGAGGCAGCAAGAGGAATCTGGGTATGGTCCCTGACTCACTGCCAGGCAGAGGCCCAGCAAAGCCACCACCACATGTTGGAAGAGGCATCATTAGCCCAGACATGGTTACGCTGATTTAAATGGTCCATAGTCCAGCAGGACCCTGATAAAGCCTTCTCTGTCCCCTTGTCCAAATGAGAAGATACTGACTGAAGTAAGGTGTTAGTTACAGGAAAAAGACTCATACTCCCACTGTAGGCTGCCTAAATCTCATTGACCCCTTATCCAGAAGGGAAAATAATATCATACTAGCTCTTGATATTTTTTTGGTAACAGTATTTTCAGAGGAGCAAATGGCACTGCTCATCACTATTCTGCTGACCCCTGTCTCCTCCTGTTATTGATCATAACTTTTCCCTCAGGCAGAAAGGCAACAAATTATCGCTTTGAATAAAGAGTTAAGGCCAAAGGTAAGGAAAAGGAATGAAGTGCTGTATAAGAAAGTGAGATTAATGGCAACAGCAGGCACACTGGGAGAACAGCATTAGGGCCACCATGTTTTAATGCTGGTCTGGATAGGGAAAGGTCAGAGCAAGAGTATACAGACTTCATCTAGAAGTATGGGAAGAGCCAGGCTTTGCATGATACTGCCCCTGAAAATTATCTCTTCTCTATCTGCTAACTTTTGCAACCAGGTAAGTGTATCGCTCTAATCTAAATACAATTAAAGTCTGCAAGAGAATATCCATGCTTATATTTGAGTTATTCTCAAAATAAAACACAGCACAGGAGATAGTAAATCACTTGCAGTCTAGAGGTACAGAAAAAGATAAAAGGGTTGCTTTTCTAGGAAAAATGATATTTTCTGTTCATATGGCCTTCGTTACCCAACAAGAAATTACTTTCCTAAAGTGCCACTTTCTTTTCAGCCCATTTGTCTTTTTTTTCTCTAGTAACTACATAGAGCAGCTGAATTTTTGGCAGGTTCTGCCCACGTTATACACTAGGCAACCTCATACATGCTTTTTTCCCAGCAGTTAAAACAGTGCTGATGTTCCAGGTTACTCATTTCAGTCAGATCATAAGAACCTTGTTAACACTAGAGTACAGAGTAATGCAAACACTACTTCAGCTGAACCAGTAGCAATTTCGCCTCAGCAGAGACAAGGCCCAGTGGAGATGAAACCCTCCCTACTGGGTGAAAAAAAACCTCTTAGCTAGCTTAACTCTTTGTTGAAGCATATCTGTGGAAGAAAGTGCATTTCAAAAACTACCTGCCCTGGGAAGAGTGCAGGATATTATTTATGGTTCCTGAAACTGAATTGGTCAGCGAATTGAAGTAGTCCTCATCTAAAACTCAGTTGTGTTTAACACCGTTAAGGTGCAGCTTATTATTTATACGGTATAATATCTTTCACAAAATAGGCAAAGTATGCACTTGGTTCTGTGCATCAATATGTCATTCTTTCCCTGGACACAGGAAATTCTGGAAGAGCTCTAATGCAAGGGGCTGAATCACCCTTGGAAACATGCCCTTTTTATGCTTACTGGCTACGCTATAAAAAGCAGCAGTGTTAGCAGTTTTAACAGGAAATAAATGAAAACTAAAAAACAAACCTGCACCACAGTCAAGCTGAGGATAAAAAACAACTACACACTGCCCTCTGGCTCATGCATTGCCACCACAGAGAGCTTGCCTGTAATCATCACCACAGACAGCTGGGACTAAGAACAGGCCAGTTCTCATAGCTGGCCCCCAAGCCTACTTGGTACAGTTAGGACTTGCAAGCAAAATTAATACCTACATCACCTAATAGAGGAGCTGGCTGACCTTAAAGACAGGGGAGAATCTACAGTGAGACTGTAGGGCCTTGCCCCTAAGCCAGCAGGGAATGGAGCTGTAGTACCAGAATCAACTTAACAAGTATCCAAATAACCTCTGGAGATGTTCATACAAAGATAATCCATGTTAAATAGACAACAGCTCTCTCTAGTAAGCAAGCTGTAGCCTTCAGCAAGGCATGCCATTCATGCACTGAACTAATGCACAGAAAAGAAGAAAAAAAAAAGCCTGCTGTTTACAGTGTGTAAGGCCAATTTATATTGACAAAATGTTGCAGACTGACAGTCTTGCATTG